TAAAGCAAATCCAAACCTGGGTTCGAACACTTGCTTCTAGTGTCTTGAACTAGGTGGGTCTTGAACTAGTTGGGGGTGCAAGATCCAAGGAATTTAGATCTCTGCTCTTGCCACTTATAAGTAACTTAAGTGAAGTGTTATTTTCTAATTCTAAGTTTCTTGAATTTGAAAGGGGATGTCAGATCCAAGTTAATAATAATAATAATTGATTTTATTCTTCAAATCAAATATATATATATATATATTATTGTAATCAAATTTATTTGAAACTTAATAATATTAATGAAATTAATAATATCTATAATATTAATAATAATATTAAATTTATATGGCCTAAGTTTTTTATAGTTTTTAATTCCTTAAACTAAAATTTATTGTTTTTCATTAATGGTAATATATATTTTTTTAAATTTAATAATAATAATAATAATAATCTCTTTACCGTATTGGAAAAAAAAAAGAAAAGAAAAAAATTACAGCATTGGATCTTACTGGGGGTAAGACCTCACATTGTTTGATGGTCATGTTGATAGTAGAATCTAACATTGATGAGTTCTACTAACCTGGTGCTATGGTATATATAGCCTTAACATGCTTCACTAAATAATGCAATTTACAGAAAAATCGCTCATAGTTTATATTAATTCACGTCATAGTGCCGAATAGTGCAATCCATGGTAATTTAGTAATTCACTCTATAATAAAAATATTGATATTTTTAGTTATAATTAATTATTTTTTCATTTCTAATAAAATCTTACAATCTCACCAGTTAAGAACGCATTTGGAAAGAATAATTTTGAAAATTTGAGCTAGTATTCATTTGACAATTTGGTTAAACTATTATGATTTTTAATATTCCAACGACTAAAAAATTAAAATTGTTCAGTTCAAAGGTTGAAGGGTCCCAAGAAAAAATAATGGGGAAAATTTTGTTAGCGAAAAGGGGAAATTTGGAGAAAAATTATGCTGATGCAAATGCTTTTTGGATTTTTGTCAATGGCATCAACCAATTAAAAGCATATGGGATCATGCCACTTCCATTGATTAACATAATGCTGTTTTAGATTTTTCTCAATGGCATCAACCAAACAAGAGCAGATGGGATTACTCCAAGACTTTGAGTTAATGTTGACCATTTGCTTACTTCTACTTTAGTATTTTAGAGATTAATAAAATTACAACTCTCAATAATTGGACTTTACAAGTATGCCAAAGGGCGGCAGCTGATTCATAACTAGCTTAGCAGTTTAAGTGCTTAAAACAAAAAATTTCTGTCCACATTATAAACAGAAGAATTTGAGTATAAATATTATAATTGAAATTTAATTAAAAAAGAATTTAGTTTTAATATACAAAAAATTATTGAAAAAACAACAACACACCCACATGTAGTTGCTTAAAAAATAGGCTACTTTATATAGTCAAGTTATTTTTGCATACTTTTAAAATGTCTTATCTCTTGTGTAAACAATTAAAACTTGAAATTTTTTCTGTCAGTCAGTGTCGTTCATTGAACCTGAAAAGATAGGGTAGGAGACTCGGAGACTAGTGGAGGGTCACCTCCTTAAAAGAAAAAAAATATCTAATATTGATTTGGTATTATAAAAGCTTTTGCGATTGTAATTTTTTAAAGTAATTTTTTTTTTAAAAGCTAGAAATTATAGTTTTTTTATAATCAAGATTTAAAGAGAGTTTTTAGTATATAGCATTCATGAAAAATCATGATATGTATTAACTAACCAAATATCACTACAACAAATTTGACAAACACAAATGGAAATTAGATGGAATTTTTTGATCGATAGATTGCAGTGAATTTTACTAGTAGACTTTTCCATTGCTATATCCGTCAGTATATACCCAGAAAATTGCAGTGCAAAAAGGAATAAAAAAGTCAGAAAAGTATAACGACGTATAACTTTTACCAATAGATTTACCAATGAAATTGACCTGACGGGAAAGTTTATCTGTAAATATACTGATGGAATAATCCCTCGGTATATACTGAAGAAATTATAAACTGTATTATAATTACATTCAAAAAGAAAAATCATACGGTGGCATAATATTTTTACTTATAGAACGACCGATGGAATAATTTCATCCGTAAATCAATAAATAATATTTAAATTTTATGACCTGGTGATTGACCCTCCTCTCCCCTCTCCCATTTCTTTTTCTTCCTTATGCATTTTTTTCTACAACAAACGCCACCCATCTTCCCCCAATCTCAACACAATTGAATCTCCTACAAGAAATATGGTCATCACAATATTTTGTTTGTTAGCATCTATATTCTTATTCAAATTTTATTGAGAATTTTCTACCTTAAGTAAGTAAATATTCCCATTTTTATTTGAACATAATTTTTAAATGTTATGTTTTTGTATATTTTTTTAGTATAGTATTTTGTCTGGGTATTTACTTGTTTTATAGTTTTTTTGTTATACAATTTTGATATATGGATTTATGATTTATACATGTTATGGTTTTGTTTAAATTTTGTAAAATTATATTTGTTTGTAAATTGATGAAATTAACTGATGTCGAATTTTTGACTTTGATGTTTTATAATAAAATAAATAATGGATTATTTAACGAGTTCGTTTTATATTTTGTCAATTTTATTGTTATGTTATAGTTTTTGGTAAATGTGTAGAAATTTAAATTTATATAGACATATAATTGATAATGAATTAAGAGAACTATTAAAATAAATTGAATAAGATTGAGCTAAATTAATATTTTTGTAAATTTATTTAGTTAATGTGCTTAATTAATACATGTTGTCATCATTATTTAAATAGATTTAATATAAGTAATGAATGATTGTTCATAGATGTATCGAGATTCACCCA